ATCTGCCAAATTTCAATAAGATATGTTCAACCGTTGCAGAATGATCGAGTAAACATTAAAAAACTAAATTAATGGATCCCACGGGAACCATAACTATTCCCGGGATAAAAAGTAGCCTATGTGTTCTTCCCGACTATGCTCTAAACCTGTGCAAATTTCATGGAGATCCGTTCAGCCGTTTAGGCTACAAATGCTAACAAACATCCATCCATCCATCTAAACTTTCGCATTTGTAATATTAGTAAGAAAATTAATTGTCGTCTACCTGTGTGTAGTAATATAACTGATTAGTTTTTACCTGACTGAAAAAGTGTGTATTATTTTTTGCGTGATGTAAGTTTGTTTGTACATGGTGGTGTAATATGTAAATTCTAATTCATAGTATACAATTTAAAATATTAAATAGTAATCTAAATTTTGTGTTGTTCAAATAAGCGAAAGAATTATTACACGATTAGGGAAGTGCCGTAGAATATGATGCTCGGTTGATTTGAGCTATGAAAAATCTCGATTTTTACACCTTACAAACTCGTTACTCGTACGTTAGTCATAAAAATAACAATTTTTGCTAAATGCTATATAACCTCTGGGTCATAGACATTCAAGTTTGCGTAATGTTTTCTATTCAGTGAATACAATTTTAGTGACTAACTAGTTGTTAGTTAAATCTATATTTCATATTGTATTCATATTTATATGCAATGACGTAGAACAAAAATATGCAAGAATAATTTTTGTAATTATTATAATAGTATTAAGTATAGGTTAAATTGTTAATTAACATGAAAATTTTATATACTTTCTTAAATGTTTTAACTAGCTGGTGCTCGCGTCTTCATCCGTGCGGAAATAAAAATTGTAATAAAGATATTACTTAGTGATAACGTAACTTTTTGTTAAATGAATTTTGAAATCGACTCAGTAGTTTTTTTAGTTATTTCAATACATATAAAAATACAAATCTTTATATTAGTATAGATATAGACGACAATTTCATGATGACAAATGTATTATATGCGACTATTTATAATAAGTAATAATATTTATATGTTTTAAATTAAAGGCTTTTAGTATGCAAATTGTTGTTACTTAGTTGCTAGTCCGTTGTCGTATGCATGTGGCTCATAAAGTTGTACATTAATACGAGCTATGTGGGAGGTTTCGCACGTGGCGATCTTAATAGCATCTTATGTTCACTTTACAAGAAATCCTCGACGCAATTCCTTTATTGACAGTTTTATTAAAACAACCATATACATATTCAAACCATATACATATTGGACACAGAGATGCAAAGTTAGTTTACCTTTCAACGTTTTCAAGTCCTGTGACTTTTTTAATGCAAAAAACTAACCAAACTTTTACCAGACATGTCACTGTTGTGTCTGGTTTACACCAAACGACCGTGGAAATGTAATCATGATAAAATTAACATTTGAATATAACATTAAGTTGAAGTTTGGCAAATAATTCAGCATTTCCCAGCGCGAATAGAGTGTGCAACTGTATTTTGCAATTTTAAATGTTCATCATATATAGCGATGCAGTTTCACGAATATTGTGTCATTTTTTTATTTAATTTATTTTAAAGGTCTGTTGAAATTTACTGCTGTATAACACAATCTCTAAAATTATTTTAATTAAATTAGTAACAAAAAATAAAATTTCATAATTCGGACTTTTTATTTCTATCGTTATTAGTAATTAAATTTTAACATTAACCTAAGTATTAATTACTAGCTTTCGCACGCGACTCCGTCCACGTGTAATTTTTAAAAGTAGCCTATATGTTATTTCAGACTACCATTTACATTTATGCCAGATTTCATCGAAATCCGTTCAAGTTAGGCAACAAACACTAACAAACATCTATCCATCTAAACTTTCGGATTTATAATATTAGTAATAGTAAGATTAAAAAGTAATTAAAAAATAAATAGAAATGGGCTGAACGTAACATTTCATACTTATTTTGCTGTAACAATAAGAATTGTAAAAAATATTTGAAAATAACCCGTTTAAAAACATACAACAAACTTTAATTCATTTGATTTGTAACGTTCCATTGTCATACTAATATTATAAATGCGAAAGTTTAGATGGTTGGATGTTTGGTAGAGTTTGTAGCCTAAACGGCTTAACAGGTTTCGATGAAATTTGGTATAGAAGTAAAGGATAGTCTCAAAGAACACATAGGCACTTGTTTTTTGTAAATTTCACGCGGACGGAATCGAGGGCGAAAGCTAGTTGTAATATAAATTCATTATGTGTGAACTTGACTTAGTTTCCCGTGGGGCAGACGATGAAGAGATTGTCGGTTAATACCTGGTTACACAAGCCATTGTCATAGAAGTAGCTAATTAAAACTAAGAAATAGTCGTAACTGAAAGTACCAACTTTGTACAATGGAATTGATATTAGTCACCTGTATTTTCTCAAGGTATTGTATTTCATACGTTTACATATAATTATAAACATTTTCTTTCTATCTTTTTATTCTTATATTATTACTAGCTGTTCCTGTGCGACTTCATCCGTATAAAATTATGAAAATTTTGTTATTTACATGTGTCAAATTATCAACAGCAAATGTGAAAATGACATGACATATGACAAACCATGGTAATCTTGCTTCTTCATGTTGGCAGCAACTTATGGTCTCTTTCCCACATTAGGGTTTTTATCTAAAATATTTACCCCCTAGTTTAATGGCATGAAAATGTATAGCCTAAAGCGTGACGCAAGTGTAGGGCTTTTTAAGAAAAGAGTTATTCAAAAATATGCTGTAATTGCTGACATCTTAGGCAACAAAGAAGTGTGTGTTTACGCTTTATTATATTAGTATAGATTATATTTCTCTTATTGTGAACGATTTAAAATCGGAACGGTTTTTAAGTAGGTAATTTTTATGTAATGTGAATTGTCCAACGTGCTACTAACGCGGTTTGTTGCTGGCCGTCGCAAGCTGAGAAGTTAATCAATCATGTTAAAGATATAAATAAACATATTAAGTTGTATCTCTATGACACTTGAATATGTTTTTGTTTATCAACTTCATATGAAGTCTTTAAAAATATTTGTACATCTTTCGCATATACTGTTGTTGTTTTGAGAAAACATTAAACAAAAAACAAAGCTATGTTAATATAATAAGTTAAAATATCGCTTACCGGATTGCTCTTAAATAGACCGTATTTCCCCAGGGTTTTTTTCTTTTCCGCTTTTATGTAAACACGCAATAATTCTTTGCAGCAATAATTAACACCCCCGGAATATTTTTGTATGTCAGTGCTACGTAGTTAGCTTATGTATTTAATTTATAACATACTAGCTTTTGCTCGCGACACCGTCCGCGTAGAATTAAAAAAATTAATAGCAAGTTGCCTATGTGTCCTTCCAGACTATGTACATTTTCATCGAAATCAATTCAGCTTGTTTTATAGTGTCAAACAATTTAAAATCATATTGCATTTACATATATATTAGTTATATTTTTTGGCTATAATACAGAGTGTAATATTACAAAACTACATAGTTCCACACCTTTTTAGGAATAAATATGTAATCATTCATAACAAATTGCTTTTACAATGTCTGTTAATATTAAACGTGACTATTGATTGGGCCACTCGCGTTAGTGTGCGTAGCCAAGGGCAATAGAATCCACAAGGGATTTGAAAGTGTTTTAGGACGTGTTTGTAGAGTGATGGTGGACAAGTGTGGAGTCACGGCCTGCGCGGGGGAGGGGCACAATGACGTCGTGTGTATGCGCCGGCTGCTCTTGTGCCGCTCAATGAGCAATAAACTCGCTAAGAACGGCATCGACGCGTGCTGTACCTCGCCCCGTCCTCTCGCGAGGTCCCACTTTGATAACATTCAATTATTTTTTATACATGATCAATTAAAATATTTTTAAATACTTACATTTGTATTGTTAATAGAAAAATCAACATAATACATCCAGGGTTCAAACTGCGCAATTTATGAAAATGTACGATAACTCTTATTTCTTGCGATGTGGTAATAGAAAAAACCTTTTCAGTAATAATACGAGTAATATTCTATTTGGAAAAATTAATTTAAGTTCACATTATCAAAATATTACTTTAAATTTACGCTGAATAAACACACAGTAATGTACAACATTTGACCACTTATTTATTTATTCTTGATTTAATTTGTTTGCCAAAATTTCTACGTATTCATGCTTTAGCTCCACCAAAATCATACAGCGTAAATACTTAATTTATGCTAAGTAATTTCTTTGAGAAACCATAATTGGATTTTTTTTTGCTTATATGAAACACAGTACATCATGTTTTTGGTATTGACAAACGCTAAACGGTAGGTTAAATAAATTCAAACATACATACATGTTGCTTATCGTGAAAGCCTAGTTTTAAATTTCTAAAAGGTCTTCGCTGGGTTTTTTCTAAGTTAATGTAAATGTTACATTTTAACTATTTAAATAATAATAAATTGTATACGCTAGTACTTATATAAAATATTGCAAACCGGAAATAATTAGAATTACTTAACCGGTTGACAAGTGTTAACATAACATTCATTTGCTAATTACCGTCTAAATGGCAATACTAAAACACAAAGTTTGAAGGTTGTGAGCACGATTTTATACAAATTGGATCTAAATATTCTACTACAGTATTAGTAAACATATTTAAATTGAATACAAATGCATTTTAATTGAATTTTAGCAGTTTCGTTAAATGAACGTGTTTACATATGTGATCACAAACTGACATCTGGTCCTCCCTGACATTCGGTAAACTTGATTCAATAAGATACACTCAAAGAAACTCGAATATCGACACACCGAAATGTCTTATTTAGCAATGCGTTCGCATCCGTCGAGACGTTTAGTTTAAAAAGCTCTTGTTTAACAAAATATAAATTATTTCCGTACGTATATTGTATACAACGGTAGTGTTTTGTTTTTAATCTTTACCAGTTTAATTATGTGAATAAATTGTTTGTTGCAGTGAAAATGGATATCTTAAATAGGGTAGTGGCTGGATATCACGATTTGATGGACAACAAAAGTGATCAACGAGTTAAGGATTGGTTCTTGATGTCATCCCCGTTACCTACATTAGCAATATGCCTCACATACGTCTTCACAGTTAAAGTAAGTAGCCCTTATTAAAGCGGGAATAATTAATAAAACAAGTTTACTGATTTGCTTACAAATGCTTATTAATATGCAATTATTTTATGGTTGTAGCAAGTTCAAGACAATTATGTCATGTGTCAATTACTTTACGACATTGTAATTATTCAGCGGAACACTAATTGTGATCATTTGCAGGTGCTCGGACCCAAGTTGATGGAAAACAGAAAACCATTCGAACTGAAAAATGTCCTCCTCTGGTACAATCTGTTTCAAGTTATTTTTAGTTGCTGGTTGTTCCATGAGGTAATTATATTATTACCTTTTCTCTATAAATTCTTTATCAAAAATAAGCTCTTAAGATACTATTCGGTTGGGATATAGAACCAGGAGTTCTTAACACACGTTCTAACTTTAGAAGTGAAATTGAAATCGAGTAAGAGGTGAAATGTAAAATATTTCACTTTGTTACCTTATACTTTTCTGTGGAGATTTTATTTGAAACCTGAAAACGATCTTTATAAATTGATTTCTTTTAAAAATTGCCTTTTATTTTTTGGTTGTTATAGAGCATAGTTAGCGGTTGGTTTACTGGATATAGTTTCCGTTGTCAACCAGTCGACTATTCGAGATCACCTGAAGCGATGCGTGTAAGTATTTTGTTCACATATAAACCTACAATTATATGTAAATATTAACGAATTCCGTAAAAATCATAATACATATTTCTTATTTCCAATTCATTGCACGTACCATTGTAAACTCCTTTAGTTAAACGCTTGAATATATAAAAGGAAAATTGTAATTTAAGCAACGTAGTTTAAAAAAAGTACAAAAGCTCTATATGTTGAAAAACGTTGTTGGTTTTAATTAAATTGATTGTAAATGATTACAAGTATTTTTTTGTTTCTAGACGGTGAGAGGATGCTGGTGGTATTACTTCTCCAAATTCACAGAGTTCTTTGACACGGTAACTAGCTTTCTATTGTACATTAAGTACAGTCAGCTACATCAATATGCAAACAAATACAAAGTCTTAGAAACTTGTACCTTTAGTTTGAATAATATTCATGCGCGTATTCGTTCGTATGCTTCCAATCATGTATTAATGTTATTAACGGAGACATAAGTAAGTTTTGAAACCGAAGCCCTGTGAAGGTTTTTAAAATTTTGTAAATGTTGATAATTTTGCAACTGACTGTACATTTTTATTTACCTTGCCTATTTAATTTTCAATCATAGATGTGTTAGAAATGTTTGTTATCATGCTTGTTAAACAGACGTCAATAACAGAAATTCGCAGTGTTTGTGTTCGTCATTAAATATAGTACAAACAAGACAGATCCGTCTTTCCATGTGTGAAGCTTAAAATGTAACCTAGGAAACCCAGCCTCGATAAATTGATATTACTCCATATATTATTATTATTCATGAATTATTCTTTAGTAATATTAATTACGTAACAAACGTTCGAATACTGAAACGACATCTAATCCTGTGAAGCATCTTAAATAATAAGTTGCGCTTAAGAAGCAACAATGCGATTTTGTTTCCAGTATTCGGTCGTAAGTTATTTATTTATTTACTAGCTTTCACCCGCGAGTCTGTCCGCGTGCAATTAAAAAAACCAAAAGTATGCATATATGTTCTTTCAAACTATGTACTACGTCTATGACAAATTTTGTCCAGACGCGTTCGGCCGTTTGGCCTACAATCTCTAACAAACATCCATCCACCTAAACTTTCTCGTTTATAATTAAAATAAGGAAAAAAACATTAAAACCGTGTCTTACAAAACTAGATATACTTTGACTGTAAGATTGATTTAATATTAAGGTAACTTTTAAAATCTTTTTTACGCAAAACGTTTTAATCTTATATTTCCCAATTTATCCGTGACCAAACAATAAGTGTCAACCAATCCATTGTAACGTTTTAGTCAAATATTTGGATATTAATTTAGAGAATTGTAGACATTGTTACTTATGCATACATGATATTATCAACATTACAAAATCTTCAGCCCACAGTAATTTGAAGCGGATATAGAGGACAGTCAGTTTGTAAATTCCTGATTACGTAAGATCGATTTGCATATATTTTAACTGCTCATAAAACTGCATAGTTCAGTTATGACGCAAAATATTAACGCTTAAAATAATCCATAATATTTTTAATAATATAGCTATTATAATGTATTAACGTAAATGTTTGTTGTCTTTAAGAATTATTGACAACACTTGCAATGTAAACTGAGGACGTTAAATAAATATTAAGTGTGAAATATAAATGTTGCAGTGCTACTATAAATAAAGAAGTACGTCACAGAGTATATTACGTATTAGTTTACAGAACAATTTATACCTAGACACAACGTACAAACACATGACAGTTTTTGTACAGTTATATGTTTCATTATTATCACCAGGTAGTGAGCTTAGAATAAAAGTATAGTGATATGTCCCCACTGAGGGGCTCGGAGCCTACCCTAAGTTACGGTGACTAGGCCTTGTTCAATCACGCTGGTACACTATAGGTTTTTTACGGTTTTTAATTTGTAAATGAAAAGATTTTTTTTAATGATACAATTTATTGCATCTTACATTATATTGCAAAATGTGAATGAGGTATAAAGAAATCGATTAAATTAACCGGAAAAGTGACTTCCATGGTCATAATAAGACACTAGTATTAATATAATTACCTACAATTTATTTATATACTAGTGGTCTACGATAACTTATAATCGAAGGTTTTTTTTTTTTAATAAAAAGATCTTTATGCACTTGTCCTCCGTATTAACTTCACCTGTGTTAAATTTCACGTTCAACTGTTTGCGTTATTATGACGTCATTCATGAGAACATAGACAGTTGTTTATTTTTTTAATAAATCTATTTATGCGAATGATTTTGTTTCAGATCTTCTTCGTAATGCGTAAGAAGTTTGATCACGTGTCGAAGCTGCACGTCATCCATCACGGAATTATGCCGATGTCGGTCTGGTTCGGCGTCAAATTCACGCCCGGTGAGTAATGTTATATAAAAATGTAAAAAAGTTCGATACAATAATACAATAACTTAAATGCTTTAAATTATAGCATCAAATACGAATTAAGCATTTAGTTATTCTATCTGCATTAATACAGCAAGCTATTATATATAAAAAAATGATAGTCGTGTTAGAATTGAAATGTTTACTATTTTAGACGTAAGTTAACTTAAACTTTGGTGTTTACTTGTTTTTTATTATTGTTTTTGACTTATTAAAATTTACTATTGATTTCCTTATTTTTGGCAAACATGAACGAGCACGTAACCTCTCAGACTATTTTGTAGATTAAATATAATAAGATGTTGACCGTGTCAGTCATAAAACAGCACTCTTATAAGCAAATACGCATCGACGAACTCTTATTTGAACAGCTATAGAGGACGAAGTCTATGTTTCGACGGTAGCCATCGTGACATAAGCTTTTAAACTTGTAAATGAATGTTCTCGATTAAACTCGCAACAAAAAGTCTTATGCTGGGTTTCTGAAGTTTCCAAAAGGAACTTCAACGCAGTAAACTCAGATAACGTATTTATAAACTTAGGGTAGGCTCCGAGCCACTCGGTGGGGACGTATAGTGAGCTGGTTATGATGAAAAACACTATACGTAGGTGGGAAACCGGCAATTAAATGATCAGCACTTTGATCTTGCTTAAACGAAGATATCGTTATTTAATTTATATTGAGTTAAGTTAATTACACATACATGAAGACTATAATTTTAATCTAGAAGCAAAAAATAGAGCAAATAAAATTACTCATTATTCACAATTCTAGAAACTAATTGACGACGGACGGTGATACAGCCTTTTTCTTATCTGTAAATAATATTGAATGTCTATATATAATATCAAAAAATCATATTTCATGCTCATGATATGTTTCCATTACTTATATCTCGGAAATGTAAGAAACGTAGAATCATGGTGAAATAAATTAAGCACACGTTAACAAGAATGTTCTGGTAATACTTTGCTGTTTAAATTAAACCGAACATTGCATACTAATCTCGTTCTATAGTTATCCTGGTTTCTTAGTGAATGATTTTAAAAATATACAAATTTAAGTGAACCCATCTCTATGGATATTACGACAAGAATACCGTATACTTGTATGACTGATTTGTTATCTAAATGGACTTGGGAATAACTCGTCATAAGCTCACTATATGTCCCCATAGAGGAGCTCGGAGTCTACCTAAGTTAGGGACGAGGCCTTAGTCAACCTGTTAAAAACAACAAATATGTAACGTGTAAATTAAAATAATCTATACTACTATTATAAAGAGGAGAGATTTGTATTTTTGTACGTATTGGATTGGCTCGGGGCTGCTGGGCCGATTTCAAATTCTTTTACCGTTAAATTGGCTGAGTTGTTTGTGAGTAAAATAGTCTAAGTTTCTTTATTATTTTTTTTATGTTATAAACTAAGCGACCAGTGATCACACAAAAATACTGTGGGTTTCTGTACCGCTTATAACATTTCTTTATTGTATTTATTAAATTCATGGTTTTTGTCCAATAAATAAAAAAAAACCCTCTCTAAGTGCGGCTCGGTTGATTTTCACACATGTGTTTGAATTTCTTCGCCTATATGTGTTGGCATCACGATGTCCTTTTATTGTATGGTTGAGGAATTGACAAAATATGATTTACGTTAAAATATTTCTCATATTCAAGAAATTCTTCACTATATTCACGTCAAACTAAAGCCATATTGACGTCAATTTAATAACTTACATGTCTTTTGAATTTTTTTATTTTTTGAAAATGAATAATTAAGATAAGGTATATTAAAATTTACCATTTAATGAATATTTAAATTTATCTTATAAATTAAGTTTTGCCATATTGTTATCGTATTATCTACACAAAAAGTTTTGCAGCCACACTTACTTGATGCTTAATATACTATTAATTATGCATTCTCTTTTCAATATTTTCTTCCTGTGTGGATTTACATAAAATTATATATTATTAAATGAATGTAATTATTATTAACAATTACAGCAGTGAAAAGTTTTTGTTAAATTTTATTGAACCAAGGCCACTCGATTGGAAAAAATCCTATTTTAAGGAAGCATAGTAATACATTTAAAACAGCTCACAAATCACTGTCATTTTTCAGTATACACCGCCAGTTATTGTAGAATTCCACTACTGTGACTTGCATTAATAACTACCTGATCCCGTGCGGCTTTATCCGCATGAAATTAAAAAGAAAACTCTATTTTATTGTTTATATTTGTCACATTCTGAATTGAAATTGTCAAAATTACCGTTATTATAATAAACTTGCTTCCTTAATGTTGGGAGCTTGTAGTTTGTGATCCCTTTCCCACATGAAGCTATTTTCCAATTTATTTACTCCCTAAGTTTAATAGCGTATAAGTATATAGTCTAAAGCATGTCGTAAGTAAAGGACTTTTTTTAAAGAAAGAATTATTCAAAAATATGCTGTGATTGCTAACATCCTACGTCACGTAGTGTATACGCTTTATTATATTAGTATAGATTATTGCTATCCCTTACATTCTCTTTGACAAAACAGAGATATATATAACATGTAATAATAAAATTGTTTAATTAGTGGAATTGTACAGGTCAACAATAAATTAAATTCAAAACTGTATGATTACTGCATGCTAATAAGACACATTAAACTGTTTTTATAACAAGCAAGATTTATTCGATTTTAATAAACAAGTTGCGGCTACGCGTTTAGATTACTTTTATAATATTTAATTTAATTGTGGTAGTTGCTTTAAATAAATTAAATTTGCGTGCTCTCGCATTTAAAATTTATTAGACTTTATAGTTTTATTTTGTTTTGTCCGTATTCACGTTGCCATAATGTTGCCAAAAAAATCTGTAAGTTGTTTATAAATTTACTACATTATAAAATTTTATAAGATTGTTGCATAGTCTTTATTTTAGTAGTATTATCAACAATCAACTTAAGTTTTCTTGAGAATGTTTACATTAAGTTGTCTAATATTTTATTATGAGGCACCAAATTTTATGTCAATTACTGGGTCTTTTACCTTAGTGCTTAATAGTATGTCTGTTTCATATGTAGCAGCGATTTTTAACTAAAAATGTATTGTGATAACGTTTGGAAACACAATGTAAATCTAAATACATTTTGCAAGTAACAAAATTCCTTAACCCCTAAAGAATACAAGAAGTAAGAAGGAAATGACTTGATCGTGTAACTCTAAAGGCTTAAACTTATATCTACTTAACTTGTCATCATTAGTTAATCCATTTTGTTGTCTCCACGCAGGTGGTCACTCAACATTCTTTGGAATGCTCAACACGTTCGTGCACATTATTATGTACTCGTACTATCTGCTCGCCGCGCTCGGACCTAAGGTGCAGAAATTCCTCTGGTGGAAGAAGTACCTTACTGCACTACAAATGGTAAAATTACGCTAACAATTAATTCATATAGTTGTGTTCCTTATTTTTTTATTTATCTTTTGTTTATTGCTAATTAACAGGCATATAATACGTAATATGTATTTAATGATTTGATATTTTAAAATTAAAGCTTTATGGTTACCCCTGGTTAGGTTATATGCCAGTTGGGGTCACTTGGAGTAAATTATGTTTTGCATAAAGTCTTGCTAAATTGCGAGCTGCTTTTGGTTTTGATGGCATTTAATTAAACTTAAAAATAAACGTATCGTTTTCCTGCTGTAAACATAATCATGAAAGCAATTCTAATATAAAGTCTTACATAGTTTACAGTTTGTTTTATAATTATGACATCTAATAAAATAATAAAACCGTTCCTAGAAAAGATTCACGACGTTGTATTCTAAAGTCTTATCTTTTTTGCTTTAGTAACGATTTGCATTAATTTACTGTTTATTTTAACATTCCAGGTGCAGTTTGTGTTGGTGTTCTTCCACGCGTTCCAGCTGTTGTTTATCGACTGCGACTACCCGCGCGCTTTCGTCTGGTGGATCGGCATGCACGCTGTTCTCTTCTATTATCTCTTCTCTGACTTCTACAAACAGGCTTACCTTAAGAAGGCCAAGGTATGAAAAGATTTATATATTTATTTGTTTCGAACTGAAAGAACTTTTCCCTAGACAAAGTAACATTCGATTATCGATACCGCTGATTGAAAAGTGAATTATGGAACTGAAAGTTACATTTGATAAGTCACGTGCTAGTATTTTTTATACATTATCTGTTTATTTTGTCTAGAGGAGCTAGAATAAGAGCTATCAGATATATAGATCAAGTAAAAGGATTATTCCCAACCGTCACCCCGCTCTGTACCCACGTGGAAGATGAGAATAAATAGTTTCATCCGTCCCACCTTTTAGTCCCACTATCACCAATAAGGTGACAAATAGAACGGTTATGAAATAAAATAAGTTCCAACCGTCCCTCGTCGCAAAAGGTGGGACGGATAAAACTTTATATTCTCATCTCATTTTTGGGAATAATCTAAGTAAGAACCTATAGTACAATCTGATTTCCGAATATCAATGAAATTATTATTGCGTGTTGAAAGCATCAGATTTTAGAATTCAATATATTTTATCGCTGTGAATGTTAGTAGCCAGCGGCTCTTAGCCTTGATTAATAAAAGGAAATCTGCTCTTGTGTCTTGATTTTTATTTAATTGCTCTTATACTTCCTTGTCTTAAAACGAATGTAAAGTAAACAACTCTACCAACGTCATTCTTACAAAAGAGTGTTTCCATATTTGCTTTTTTGTTGGCAGAACAGTACGAAACAAGTGTTTTTACGATTAGATTCACGCTAAATTTATTCCTCTTATCTAAACTAACGTCTATAAATTACGAATTTACGCAAACTGTATTTTACTAACGTATTTAAGACGTGGAACTATTTAAATGACAGTATTTATTAGAAATTTAAATTACCCAACCGGAAAAGTCAAAGAATAAAATTTGCGTTATATTTAAATTATTTCTTAAGGACAAGAATTATAAATAGTTATTCCTCCACAGATCGCGAAGGCCAAAGTGAAGGTAGAGATGGATACGTGTAAATCGGAGACAAAAGAGAGGAAGTTATCTTTGTTGAATGGCTTCAGCAATGGCTCCGCGTTGAGCGACGTGCGGCAACGGATGGCGGGAGCTGTCGCCTCGCAGTGACACAATTCTCTTGTTACTTTGAAATATTTTAACTGTGATGAACTTTCCTGGCATTAGTCAAGGTATACTTAAACTACTGCCATACTCAAAGACCTTTTTTAAAGAATCCCTTAGTGAATTGTCGTACTAAATCTAAAGGACTTCCTTAATGTCTCTGAGTGTGGTAGTTATTCGGCGGAAGAAGCTCAATTAGTGACAATAAATTTAGTTTTAATTAGATATTAAAATAGCTCTGACATTGTAGAGTTTTTATTTGCAATGGTAATGTAAGTTTAGCATATAATTTAGTTTTAAAAATGTTGTAGTTAAGTAAAATTGTCGAACAAGACTCGTAGGTATAAATATACTTTTTGTATTAAGTTTCATAAAAAGGGTTTTAACATCGGTTATGATAAAAAAATGCTCGAGTACATTTAAACTTACCTTATATTATTAATTTTTTTAGAACGTTTTTTTAATCCAAAGGTCAGTTGAATACAAAATGTATATTTGTATATAATTTTTTACCGACAGTTGAAAGTAATTTTAATTATCGCAATTGCAAGCAAGTCAAAGGGTCAAACAATACAGTTATTTACAAACGCCCCACCGTCATGACTTGTTCTAATTAATTACGAGTTAAATACCTTTTCCGTAATTTGTAGTAGAAACCAAAGCATGATATACATTTTTAAACAGGGTTAATGCAATAGAACATACATATGTCATATATTTACATAAATACGTCATCGTTGGTAAATGTTAATTACATTGATATTTTAAACATTTTAGTAACAAATATTTTTAACATCATGTTAAAGAAATTAACGTATAAAGACTACAGCGTCAACCAACACCAAAGATCAATTCATAACTTGTAACCGTAGATTACCACTGTGTGAAATATATTGACATCCATTTCATGAGCGTCTCCAGGAAGGGGGATAGGTGAGAAAGGATAGAGAGGATGGAACTTCTCCTGGGTCATTGGATGGTGACGCTCATAATCCTTTTCCTATTAAAAAAAAAATAATGATTTTGTACATGTAAACAAATAAGGTATAATACGGATTCACTATGCTTACCGTAGGATTTCACTGATTTAACTTACTTCATCACGATTTAATGTCAGCGAAATTAAAAAAAATATATTAGTAAATATAGGCTATTTTACTGTGGACTAGTAGTTTTTGAGTTTATTTTTTACAAACAAAATTAAAAAAGAAAATCTATCCTCTTTGTAATATTTGTATAGATATAGAAGACTGTTTCAGAGATTGGAGAGATGCCAATATTATCTGTACATATGTCAACGCAGTGGAACTCTACGTTTACAAACTATCTGCGCTGGATTGTCTACATGTTAGATTTAATTGCATCAGGAAATGTAACTGCATGTGTGATCTTTGTTTATGACTTGCAGTCAATATTTAAAAAACAACATTGATGCAATTGTTAATATTTTTTATTTGCAATGTATTAAAATAAATGTTAAAAACTTATTCGCATTTTTATTGAACAATCTCCTCTATTACTCGATACTTGGGAAAAAATCTCTTTTGAAATTGTTTTTACGCAAGAAAACATGTTAAAGCTATGCCCCGCTTTTCCATTTTAAAAGTGCATTTAGTAATGAAGGTACAGGCGTTTGAATTTCCTCACATTCGACCGGAGAAAAGTACATTTCGTACAGTAACTGAACTGTGACAAGTCCAAAAATCTACGGTATAAAAAGTAAACATTAAATAATCTAACAAAAAAAAAACATTGCTTTAAAAAGATCCACAGAACAAAGATATTTAATAGTTTAAATATTTTTGTGCACTTTCATAAATGTACCTATATCAATTAGACAGCATAGTAGTGATGCTTAAGATTATTACTATGGCAGTGTTTGGTACATTATTCATCGGCATCAAATGAATATTGGATTTGTTTGATCACTTATTCTATAAAAACGTAACTAATAATCGCTTTCCGGCCTTAGGGTAATCGAAGTTCAATCGAACAAGGAAACATATGGAAAAATTCCGCCATCTCATTACAGAATGAGCCTTAACTATTTGCGGACCGTGACCCTGCCACTGCCATTGCCACGCGCACAACTTGTTTAGTGCCAACTGAGGTCATTTCTAATGCCCATTTTAATAGATGTGTAATTAATACGTTTGCGATACCGTTTGACGTAGATTTAAAATTACTATTTACGTCTGTACGATAAAAAATTAAAAAGCAAAATAGTAAATAAAATCATTCTTTATTTTATAAGGTGGAAAACTCGTAAGCGGTCTTATTTTGTTGGCGTTGAGTATGTTCATGGGCGTCATCAATTAATATCAAGCAATCCGTTGCTCGTTTGCCCGCTTTTTCTATAACAAAATCGTTAAAATAACAAAGCATTTCCCACATAATTCTTCGAGATATCTATGAGTTGTCAACCTTAATTACAGGGGACGTAAAGAAAGAAGTTTTGCCCCTTTCATGTCACATTATCACAGACAGATTTCTTGCTATCCTTATTATATAAGGATAACAGGACAGGAGATGATTAAAGATTTTAAGTAGCTTGAATGCTTTGATTTATTGCCTTTTATTTTTACGTCGATAACACAGTTCTATATTCTATTTCTTGTTTATTGCTCTCCCTCAGCGGATTGGGCCAGTGTAAAGTGAATAACACAGTTATTGAGATTTATTATTCACAACGGTATATTGAATAAATAAATACTTCAGATTATAACGAGCTATATTTATCAGAATTTAAATAACAACTTATTAATAATTTTGAGTTGATGAAAGATTTATTTGCCCACCGTTTGCACGAGGAAACTTAAGTAATATATTATTGTCTACAGCTTATTATAATTTTTGTATATTGTGCGTGACTGGCGATTAATTAGTTACGGTAGGCGGGTAATAGATTAATATTTTAATATAATATTTTTTGTTTTTATTTTTGATATAATCGAGGTTAAAGTAGCAATCGAATACTTTTTGTACAAATACATATTTTTTTCTTTACAAAAGAAATAAAAACATAAACAAAAAGTAATTAAAAAACCTGTTTTTAATAAATCATTTATTTTATGTTATTTTAAATAATGCTTTAAGATTGACATAGAGTTCGCTGCATCTTGCGACGTGTTCACCAAAGTTACCCTGTCGTTATATTTATATGTATAATGAAAAGAGCATAGAGTTTTCCTCAGATGGTGCAACATTATGACATGACATTGCTCACTAATAGTATTCTTCCGGACACTTAAACCCCTTTACAACTGAATGAGTAACCACAGGCGATTGCTACCTTTATGGGCGATGTTAGACGTCGTCCCATTTCCACTAGCGCGTACTCTGCTTATTGAAATTGTAGTAGTTTGTAGTTGTGTAAAGTTTACATTTATAAAATGTAGCTTAGTTTCAGTTGGTTTAAAATATTATGATACTTTTTAATTTAGGTATTTACTTTAGATTATACAAAGCTTTTTACATTAATTTTAACTTGATGATAAACGCGATGTTTTTCATTTCTCGTCATCATTTTAATTTAATTTTTAATTAACAGAATTATATTTAATATTACACTAAGTAACAATTACACATCAGTAAGCAGTTGAGAAAAAACGAATCACTTGAAGTACCTAAGTGCTGTATTAATTATAATTACTAAGAATCAGTTTTTCAGTTCCTTGACTTTAGCACTCAGGTGGTCTGTGCTGAAAAACATGTAACGATATAATTACATTAAGTGATTTTACTTCGTTTCAACTTTTTTAGTTATGTTTATGTTATGTTTTTTAGTAAAGTTAACCTACAATTAAAAAGCAATAATTTAAAATTACGATAATTATAATTGCATATTTCAATTTCGCAGACTCGAAATTGAATGTTGTGATTTTAGAAGTTGTAGAACTCACTTCTTTTGTTATTAAAAATAATTATTTTGTGGACAACATAAATATAAATAAATCTTAACGTAAAACATGCTTGGACATACTAGAAAATGTGTTCCTTCGTCGTGCTTAAAAATGTAATATTACCTATACGCAAGCTTCTAAGTTTTTTAACTTCATTTATTAAGTTATCTGTAGAACTATTACGTTATGCATAATTCATATAACACAATGCTGCGATCTACAAATACGTTCGATATTTTTAGCAGAGCCGGTGGTGATATTAGTGGCGCTCTAGGCGAGTTTCTTCTTAGACCCTTAACAGTAATACAAGACGATAAGAAAAAATATAAAGGGACTCCCAGTCCATTCATATCTGGCGCCCTGGGCGATCGCCCTGCCTCGCACTGCCCTAACTTCAATACTGGTTCTTATGTACTGAACTTGGCTTCGGGCCAAGACAATTATTCCAATTAATTACGTTATGTTTATAAAGGCGTAAACTTATGAATATGAATAAGTGTAATGCAAATCTAAGTAAAGTAGCTAACTACTTTACCCTTTTGATCCTAGGATTTATGTTTGTGTAGATTTAGTGCTGCTCTTTAGGGACGTGTGAGTGTACGAAGGCGTGTTACATTCTTATATTAAACTTTACATTTACGTATTTATTTAACTTAACATTGTAAGTTATGTCGATGTGATTTTATCCAATAACTGAAGAAATCAGAAAATATTACCTAGAATTTTCAAAATTATCTTATATAGGTTTCCATTTTGTATTTATCTATTTAACTTCAATCTTGGTATAGTTCATTTATAGAATTCATTTTCAGTGCGCCATCTAGTGTTGAAAATACTCAACAAGTGTTTTTTTTCCCTCATCGTTTCTGCTATTTGCCACTAGATGTCAGATTTTTTTTTACTTTATAAGGTGGCAAACGAGCACCTTAATTCGCCAGAATGGCGAAGCGACCGCTGCCCATAGACATTGGCAATTGCGGATGCGTTGCCTATCCTTAATCGACGGAGGCAGAGACGCACATAAAGAGGATATTTCCTCTTCCTATGCGTTTCCTCCACTGTCAAATCCTCGTTCTCTTTCTATCCTATTCTTATGAGAAAAAGGGTGGTGGGATACAATATTATACTGTGGGTACCAATTAAATAATTTTATTATTATTTATTGTATTATTATTTTGGGTGACACACTAGCAGCTAGTTAGCTGATGCGTGTGTGTTGTATAGCTCGGAGATTTCAAGTTTGTCTAATCTATTTTTAAAAGCATTGACTGTTGAAGCCGCCACTACAGTGTCCGGAATGTATGTTAAGTAACTATATTATTTTATTGCAATTTGGTGAGGTTAGAGTGGATACCAGAGACTATATATAGATTTGACGTTCTACTTCTAGCAAATAATCATATAGAAAAGTATAATTTCAAATATTCACCACTTTAATAGTTTAAAAATAAATCACGTTTTTCTGAAACAAGCCTTCATTATCATATTGATTTGAGATTCAAATAGAACATTTATCTACATTACTATGTAAATTCCATACATAACATACAACTTGAGATTGATGATTGATGGAGAATTTTAACATAATTGCAGTTTTAATCCTAAATATGAATTACCTTTATGATGTAGGTGAGTATTAATTATAAAAGGGTTTAACCGAAAATACTTACGAGTGTGATTGTACCAGGGACGAGTCTAAATGTCATCAGAGTGTGTCGCCATCGGATTCAATGAAGAACATCATTACCTTTCTAATTACTACGATTTAACTTAACGTATATTTACATACTACTCGAAAACATCATAACTACTTTAATATTATAAATGCGAAAGTTTAGGTGGATAGACGGCGTAAGTCGAGATGCGAAAACCGTTGGCATAGATAACTGGAGGACCGCGGCTAGAGGTCGAAGTGGAAGAAGTTGCTAGACCAAGCAAGGCCCACAAAGGGCTTTAGAGCTATAGAAGAAGGAAGTTTAGATGAATGGATGGATGTTTGTTAGAGTTTGTAGCCTAAGCGGCTGAACAGATTTCGATGAAATCTGGTTCAGATGTAGAGGATAGTCTGAAAGAACACATAGGCCACTCACTTTTGTTTTTTTAATTCCACGCGAACGGAATCGCGGGCAAAAGGTAGTTTACTGTTAAGAATTTATATTCTAATGTTATCATAAAAGCTACAATGATCAGATTATCCGAACAACTTTTTTTCTTTCACATCTTATGTTTCTGTATTTATAAATTCTCAGCTTAGTCATAATAGAGTCATAATAGAGAGATTTTTACATATTTACTTTCTACAAGGAAGCTCCAGTTACCTTTATCATACCTTTATCATAAAAATATAAAAGCTCTTAAAAAATTGTTCTAAGACAGAGCTAAGGTGTATTGTTCCCTACCATTCAAGTAACACGTTGACTAATTCGCACGCCTTGAAGTAAATATTACAAAACATCATTGTCTTTATAATTTTTTTATTTACAATTATTTATTTTACAATACGTCGTTACAACTTACTTATCTCGTGTGGTAGATACTTGGACAGAATAATTTCACGACTACAGTATCAAGGCTTGCAAACATTACAAAATATAACTTAGACTATCTGGAAAAGACATATTCAAATATAATATCACAAAAATAATTTAGGGTAACTTTAATACACGCAAGCCTCAATAGATATTTTAAATAGAACTGGCAACTTTTCAGTCTGAATGAAGCATAATTTAATTTAAATAAAACTGTAGGCGTATTTACAAATTAATTGTACTTTGTGTTATTTCATCTTACACTATATTTGTGACTACTTAAACGATTTCATACAAAACGTGCTCACGCAGTGATTATGTTAATGTTAGAGTTAATTTCAACACTTGTATTATAAAAGCTTGAATGTAATTTGAGTATTAATTCTTAAGAAAACGTCTAAAAACTTATTAAAAACATTTATCGCATAAATCGATGCTTCGAAATTATAACCTAGAAACAAATTTACTGAGGCAACTATAATAATGGCAATCTGTAACTTACGCTTTAGTATTAGTTCTACCAAATTCTTCTATGTGGTCGTATTCTGAGAAGCCAGGGTCGGAATCGTAATATGCGTAATCGTAGCTATTGTCCTCTTTATTAATAGGCTTTGAATGATGCGGGTGATGGTTGGGTTTGGGAACAGGCGTGGATGGAATAGATACAGGCTCCGTCTGTCTATTTTGATTTCTCGTGTTTTCGTAAGTCCTCGAGGGTGACGCACTTGTTATTCTTACGGGAACGTTCTCCGCGTTAGTGCCTCGTCCCGATGCTTCGAAAGGTCTAGAAGTTGTAGTATATGTTTGGTAGTAGTCGAAAGTCCGTTGTGTGTTTTCAGAGATAGGTCTGGTGGTTGTCGGATATGTAACTTCAGCGGTGCGCGACGTTACAGTAGGCGCGGATGGAGTAGGGGCTGGTCTGAACGGTCTCGGTGGAGACGTTTTTGCGATAGGTTTTCGAGAAATTTGATATTTATTTTGCTCTTTTTGGTCTTCGAAGAGCCTGTTACCGCTAGCGGCTATGTTAATCGAGTGTGCACCCGAAAGAAGCTCTCGTTCATATAACTCAGGCCTGTACTGTCCGTCGTCTTCTCCCTCGGGAGGTCGGTATTGACCGTCGTCTTCTCCGCTGTCCGCGAAGTTTGACGTTTGTGCATTGAAGGCATTATTAGTGTTATATGCTATAGTATTTAGACTTTGCGGAGGCTCATATCGTGTTGTCGTTGTGTATGCAGTCGTGATAGGAGAAGATGTTGTTGTTGGATTATTGTAGTAATTTTGCTTTGAGCTTGAGAATTGATTATAATTGTTTTTCTCTGGTTCGTACGCGATACTGTTGATGTTTTTGTAAGTTGACGTAGTAGTAATATAATTACGAGTAGTAGTGCTGTAGTCAATAGAATTAGGAGTACCTCTTTCAGTGTTGCCGTTGAAAGGCTGGTTTCTGAGGAAGTCGTTTTCGTTTGGTACGTCAGGTACTACGCTAAAACTATTTCTTAGTTTGAATGGGCGATTCTCGTTCTGTTTTAATCCGGGCGTCGACTGTGTATCATAGTTGTAGACTTCACCGAAACCATTCTTTTTCGATTGTTCCGTCGTCGGCAAAGTAAAAGGTGTCGGCGTTGGATTGTTGGGGAAGTATCTATTCGGTTTCGGCGTAACTCTGCTCACTTCAACGTATTCATCCTTGTATTGTGGAGGAACATTCGGCGTCGAAGCTATACTTTGAGTATTTTGTGATGGAATTCTTCGATTATAATTTTTCGGTTGTTCGGAATAAACTTGCGGAGAGAACGTATTTGGAGGGAATGTCACAGGCGTTTGTGTGGTCGTGTAGATGGGGCGCTTTCGCGCTACTTTACGTTTCAGCGATTGCTCGTAACGGTTTCCCTTTGACGTTGCGAGCACAGGTGAAGAGGAAGGTGATGGGTGATATGTGGTGTACGATGTAGGAGGGGGTGTCGGGCGTGAAGTAGTGGGTCGACGGAAAGATTGCCGCGACTGCGGGGCCTGCGCCGATGGCTGCTGCGCTTGCGGGGCGGACTGCACGGGGTCATCACGACCGCGATCTCGCTGACCACTGAAGAAGTCCGAGGAGTGTGCGGCACGGAGGTCGTTAGAGGCGGCGGGGCTTGCGGGGGCAGGGGCGGTGTGCTGTGCCAGGCGCCGGTCTCCGGTCTCCGCACGCTGCAGACCAAACTCGGTCTCATCTTCGCGATTGCCTTGAGACAGTTTCTTAGTGTCAAAACCTGATTGTAAAAAAGCAATTGAGATAGTTTATTATAGAATATCACTTTATGTTTGTTATTTCTAAAAGCCTCGCATTTAAAATCGCCTCTACCATTTTGTTCAAGCGTTTCACTGAAGCTTAGCGTTTATTACTCGCAAGTTTTTTTACCGAGGCGTTTGTATTGTAAATTAGGAAAAATAAACAATAATTTAAGCATTGAAGTTAAGACTTTTGTTTAGATTAAAAGCGCCGCATTTTGCGTTTGTCCGGAATTGACCTTTATCTTGTTACCTTAGCATCCTGCCACAATTCGCACGTTATTGTTAAGTTCATGTAAGCATAGCCTAAGATAATTTCAAAGATTCTTCCGAGAAAAATAGGCATCACCTGGCAAGAACAACGAACGATATCTTCTTCGTTTCTGTTGTAAGATAAGCTTAAGTTAAAAGTGCGTTAGTAGCAAAGCGCTCACCGGATCCGATCTTGTAGAGATCGAACTGACCGTCGTAGATGTCGGGGCAAGCGAGGGGGTCATCGTCGCCCCAGTCGGTGCACGTCTGCGCCTCCTGATGGAACAACGTGCCGGGAGGACAGAAGAAGCGGAAGTCGCGCACCCCGCCGCCCGCCACGCGCACGCACACGTGGAACGCCTTGCAGCCGGACTTCGCGTCCGCATAGTACGCGCCAAGGATACGCCCGCGGCAGTTGAATCTTTCCGCTCCACCTGTGTACAACATTTAATAAATTCTATCATTATTAGAAGCAATACAACCGAAGGTCGGAACCTGGTCCAGTAAATTTTATGATGCCTACATTTTAAGATGTTATTATATCCACGATACCCAAATACTTTCTATATTACTTAACAATATAGTTTTATTTTGTTGTCCTCAGGACCTCTTTCTGGTTTGCTCTAGATCTAAAAGTGTGTGCTTAGCTGCCAGTATCAATTTACATTTATACTAGCAATTAACTTTCATCGCAAAATTTTATGAAACAAATCAAAATTGGTTATTATTTGAATTAGCGTACAAGTGAGCGCGATGTGTGCAGCGTAATGGCGGCGGGTCAGCCGTTGATCATCTCCGCTCACCTATCGAGGTCGATTACGTGATCAAATTCGATATGCTGTTTACCCAACTATGGAGGTATAGGAACATTGTATCTTCCCACGATCTCCTTACAATTATTGATAGCGTACTATATTAGACTGTCATTGCATATCTACTTCTTAATGTCAAAAAACTTGCCACACCTACCACAGGCAAAATGCTAAGTGGCGTTGTTAGAGGAAAACCTAAATAGATTTTTCCAAATCACTCCAAAATGAGGGACCGGTTATGTTTAAGTGCGACAGTAACGTCTTGCATTTACCAGTCGTAATACGTATAATAATAATAATTACTAAGGTTAAGAAGTTTGTTATACCACACAATAAGAGTTTTGTAATAGTTTTAATATAATTACCCGCAATATGTGGCGAAGTCATAACGCATTTCATCTGTGTTAACGTGTTACAATTCGATCTCAAACTAGAACACTCCCACACTGAACTTACCAGGTGACAACATTACTACGTGATTAAATATCACTGTTTTATGACACAAGAAATGCAACATTTCAATACAATTTTCGCAACTAATCTATGTTTATTGCCTACATTTAGCCCAAATTGCTGTATAATTATGTGCATTGGATATTTTTTTTCTATCATTAATCGTTTAGCAAGCTAGGAATTATATGTACTTCTGTATTTATATTGTTAGCTTTTAGTATTGCCTGATCTAAGTTAAGAAAGCTATCAAATTAACCTAACTTTTGCTATCGTAAACGAGTAACATTTTAAAATCATCAATCTCCAACGATATACATAATTTGTATACAATCAAAATAATAATAAAAAGATAATAATTTAAATTTCCTGTATTGTGGAGGAGGCCTTACGGGTCAGATTTAATGGTCAGATGTTGCATCAGTACACATAATGTGGTGAACGTTGTAAGAGCGGCGTTAGACGACGGAGGTTACTCGGTTCCCAAGCGTGCCTACCGCTGGGAACATTAACACTTTTAAAAGATTAACTATTATATGCCAGTTTAAAACGACCTTAACGTGATAATTATTAATTAGTGCCTTTTTAATTAACAGATAATAAAACATTTTAATAACACTTTCTTGTGTTTGTTAAATACGCAGTTAATCCTTTAAGAGTATATTCGTTCTTTTACATTAGTATGTTAATGTTAAATAAACGCAAAACAATGTGTGGTGGAAGTAAAGAAGGATAGGGAAGACAGAGATAAGATCAGAGTGGTTTTGCAATCTCAGAACGCCGCAAGGTGCGTTAGCATCCTCTACAAAAGGTCAGCTGAACAACGATTGTTTTGTACGGAATAACATAGCTTCATTTAATGTGAGTTTCCACTACATAAACAACAGCCCAAAAATATTAAATAGTTATAGCTTTACCAGATATATAAGAACCGCCGTATCACGTTAACAAATGGAATTAATTCCTTCACATTCGAAAGTAACGATAGAGAAGCTAATTGAAGCGACCCCAAGCCAGGCTTAGTATGTTTTTGCTACGTTTAGTTTATGCTACGTCTTTATTGTTGCAGAGAATATGACCGAAGACAAATGTTTTTGTATGTAGGTTTTATTATAATTGTAACTCAAGGCTTAACATATGAACATCTTAAACTCATCACCTGATATTACTTATGGGACAGAGCAAAGCTTACTTCTTACTAATATAATAAATGTGAAAATTTAGATGGATGGATGTTTTCTGAGAGTTTGTAGCCTAAGCGGCTGAATGGATCTCGATGAAATTTGGAATAGGCGTAGAGGACTAGAAGATTACATAGGCTACTCACTTTTGTTTTTTTTATTCCACGCGCACGGTGTCGAGGATTAAAGCTATTGTAAAGAGAAATTTTAAAAATGCATACGGGGATGTTAATACTCGCTCTGATGGTAATGATCTCTTTAACACGAGATCATCTTATAAAGATCAATACTGATCCGAACATAAAAATACTGTATTCCAATAATTATACAGCTCGGTCATTCCGAGCGTAAAATTGTTCGGAATAAAGAATAACTGTGCACGATGTCATATGTTTCCGTGTTAAGCCGAATCGGGGAGTTTGCGTTTTTTACACGTACGTGTAGTTAACATGCTTTCCAATTAGAAATTTATGTTCACTTACACTTTCTTTCACAAAAACGTTAAAGTATCTACCGCCTTCATTTACGAAATATAACATTACTGTCACTTTATAACCCTTTCATTTATTAAAAAATCTAATAATTAGAGTTATGATACTATGTAACTTTTTAATACAGCGATGTATTAAAAAAAACTGGGAGAAAATGATCCGGAAAGCATCATGCGTAAAGATGAAACTTCTAACATCTTTACAGATAATTTTTGTTATTACAGTTGCAAAATTCTTTTTTCGTCAACGGAAATAATGTTGCATGTATTTGTTAACATTTGTACTCTAACCGTTGAACAATCCGATGCGACCTGTCATTTGTTTATGACATAACGCATTGTTGATGAGTCAGTTCGTATTATTTTGACAGGGATCATTACATCTCTATCATTCAGTGTTACGAATATGGATGTTCACGTAACGGCTTCATAATGTACAGATACATTTTTCAATGTACGTAGATGTAAGTGCCTGGTTGATTTGTTGATGCAATTTTTAAATTATTTGCATTCGAAAAAGTGTCCCATTGAAGACCGAGCAAGACTAGCAGGATATTAAAATAATTAGTTTGGCATCGAGCTCGAAAAAGATATTATTTAAGCATAATTACAATGACATTTTCTTAATTACCAAGCAATTAACCTAGATTCTCACCGGACTAAACCCGAAAACTAATGAAAGGAAAGGATCTTATGTGACCTTGTACTGATCATCCGTTCTCCAACAGCCTAATAGGCCGGTGAATGGGTCGTGAGAAAATCACTTATGTAAATGCAAGTCCGGGGAATCGATTATCGTCGAATGTGCGATGTGCGATCGGTGCATCGAGTGCGCTCGGATGGAAAGTGCATCGGTTAAAGATTGCGCAAGTACAAGCGGCAGGCGGCTCGCAATGCAATACTGCAGCGTTGTGACCCCGTCAAATGAGATGTGACGAATATAATGTAACCGTGCGTTTTTACTGCTAAAATAAATGTTTTGTACAAATGGTTTGGCCGCGGAAGCCCACGTTACGTATTATGTATCAAGTGTACGCGTGTCGCTTGTTTTTTATTAATTGACCCTTGATGCTAAAGTTAAGAAGTAAATCTCTTTGCTGTTATCGTGACTGTACATATGTACGTAGATATAGGTAGATAAGATAACTTTTTACATTGATTAGCCATTTAATTAAGCGAAAGTTAATTAACAGCAAATCTTAATTTCTCGGCATTTATACACATTTTTAAGTCATAAGAGCTTAGTAAAGTCTAACAAAACTTATTAACATTTAGTTATTGAATACAACATAATACATCACAAAACTAATGAAAACAACTCAAGCTAATAATATATGTTCATTAAATATGCATTAGAAAAAGTATTAGAAACAATGCGTGTTGATACGATAATGTTTTGCCTTTGTTTGTCAATTCAAGTATAATACTTTTTATCTACATTAGCAACATTAAATGGCTTCCTCATAAAAGTTGGTATACTTTCTGAGTCAGTGACATGCTAGTTAAATAACTTCATCCTGATAATATAGTAACGTTATTTTATTTACAACGTATTTGAGGAAACCGATAGTCTGCATAATTATCACCATAATCTTTAGACTATGTCAATGAAGGTGTCATTGGATCCTTTAATATTCTTCAATTTTCGTGCTCCCTTCAGTTGTAAATCACAATGAACGGACGTACTAAAGCGCGAAAAACTTCATCCCTTTATAGTCGTGTAGTAAATAAAACAAATATTAAAATTGTAAAATTACTGAACTATTCCTTTGCTTTGATATATTAATTATTTTTAATCGATCGAGTCAGAATCATTTAAAAAAGGGATAGGAAGAAAAATCAAATATAGGTCACGGTAAATTATAAGCGTGATAAAATGCACATTGTTTCATGTTAACAATTACCAAGTCACATAATCATTTCCCTATCAACATAATTAATGTTGCTTTCCCACGCGCCCGGACGTCCGCACGGTATTTTTGATGCGCGCACGCAAAATATGACACGTAAAGTCCCTCACTTACACATAACACGTAGTGTTGTCCCTTTTACGTTGAGCACATTTCACAGCACTAAGACTTACCGAGGACGGGGAGTAGGGTGAGCACTATCCACAGGGGAGACATGTCGCCGCGGTGAGCGTCGCGTTGCAACTGGCGGTGGATGCGCGCGCGCCGCCCGCCCCGGCTTTGGTGGGGGGGCTGAAAGCTCGAACTCGCCCGCCCGTGCACCAACGCTAGAACAGTGTTTCTCAAACTTTACGAGTAATGTCTAATTTGAGTATTAATCTAATCATTATTTTCTAAATGCGCCAAGGTTGTTGAAGCATGTAATGTGTCTGAAAATCTGAATATTTATTATTATTCTACCTATGAACATTTATTATAAATTGCATGTAACATAGTTTTCCAACAGTAAGTATGTATATAGTTTTATTAATGAAGTCTTTTATTCCTCTTTCTTTAGCCAGTTTAATTATTTTTTTTATTTAACACTTTATAATGCTCAAATATATGTATAAATACGTAAATGGTTGAGAACCACTGACAATGACATATTGTAATACAAGAAGCGCCCTTTGCACAAATTAACAAGTTCTATGACTATGTAAGGGTCAACTTGATAGATCCGTGATAGTGGAATCTACAATCAGGATGTTCATATTGTTAAATGTCAAATAAAAAGTATTTGTTAAAGTAAAGAACAAACGATCGTTCTGTATCTAATTGCTTAGAATTTTAAACTTAGTGTAATGAAGGGTGCTTTTATATTTTTCCGTAAGTATCCAGTTTGTAGTCTTTTAGATTAACTTGTAATATTTATGTAAGTACTGTAACTATTGTTCTGTCATAAACAATGGTTATCGTACTTATTAAAAAATAAATGCTACCATATTTAACATACTTAATATGTTATAAACATATAGTTTGATTTAAGATATAACAGTATGTATAATCAGACTAACAACATATCTAGTGTTCTCCGCGGTGTTACAGTTATATAGTTCATATGACACATATAGACAGTTCAGACAAACATTATCTCTTTACTTTGACGTAACTTAATGCATTGTCGCACTCAATGCATACTTGCTATATGATTATAATCTTTACGTCCGTCTTTTCTTGCATTAAAAACAAACGTATATTTAAAACACATAACATTTAATTTAAGTAACTTTTAGCGATATTCAGTGAGAATTTATTTTATGAAGGAGTAAAGCATTGTTATTCTATTTAAATAGGTAATTTAAACTTGTAGCACATAAATACATACAAATGTTCATAAATCAACTAAGCCATGAGGCCAATTAACTATAAACCTATCTTACTAATATTATAAATACAAAATTTCGATGGATGTTTGTTAGAGTTTGCAGCCTAAACGGCTGAACGGATCTCGATGAAATTTGGCATAGAAGTAAAGGATAGTCTGGAAGAATACATAGACTACTCACTTATGTTTTCTTTAATGCCATGCGGACGGAACCGCGGGTGAAAGCTAATATGATTATAAGGGATGGACTATCCTGTCAGGCAAACAAAACACGATCAACACTCCCTCGTTCTCAATTTTAAATCTAACGTTTTATTGTCAGCTAAAATTAAAAGTTTAATAAATCAAATGTCACTAAACAAAGTCTTCGTTTGCATGTCATTTAAAAGACTATGATAGAGTCGTGTTAGGTTTCCGTGTCCTTATTGCACAACCCCGGCAAGACGTTCACACAACTGCTTAAAGAGTACCTCACGACGAAAGCGCACTTCATTCTAACATGCACTTTGTACCCGCTTCACCTTTCCTCACGTTGTCACAGTAACCTATGGTAAGAAAAGGCATTTTATGAAGCTAGCTATGCGTTCCAACTTAAGAAAATTTTTACGTTTTAATTTGGAGCAAATTATAGGCAAGTGAATAAACTTCACAGATTTCGTGCTTGTCACAGACATTTTGTGTCATAAAATGTTTATATTAATAAGATATGGCTAGAAACATTATTAGAGTTCGTCAATTTTTACTTTTTATCATAGAGACTTTTTACTTAATTTTATTTTCTAGTGGACACTTCTAGAAAAGTAGAAAATGTTTATCTTTGTTTCATTGCATCATTATAACCACGCACGGGCCTAAATGTCGGTGATTACAACATTCTGTTTCTTTGCTACTGTACGAGTGTGCGCTTATAACAAGCTTTGTAATAATTTGTTGTCAATAAAATAATTATTCGGTAAAGTATAAAGTATTTAACTATTATAGGGATAGGTGGAATGTAACATAAAACATAAACATTAAATTACCTACAAAATAAAGTGGTAATTGTACCTTTGGTAAAGTTCTTAAAATTGTTTTATATGTGTTTTATATTTAAACTATTTAAATCATTTAGTATATTACGAAACAACCCTAAACATTCGAAGATTGCGTGTTTATAAAATAAAAACTAATTATTTACGTTTGAAGTATCAGACGTTCCCACGGTATTTTTGAACGTCGACTGTTATGCTACTCGGACTAGAAATCACCGTGTCTATTCACAGAGCACTATAATAATGCTACTTTTGTTGTCAGAGGTCAATGAAAAATGTAATTATTTCTTAACATTTCTCAAGGTTATGTCGATAAAGGTTATTTAAATGAAGATTGACGCATCCATTCATTTCTCATCCATAATATAGTACCAATTTGTTTAACACGATTGTTAAAATACTTCAGTGACATAAGTTTAGACTTAATTTTTTTAAAGAATTGTTAACATTTTAAAATGCAAGCGTTTTCAGTGCCATCTATTTTAACATTCCAGTGTTGTAATTTCTTCTTCTTGTAATTTCGAGGATAAGGATACCATCTCTAAAGTGGTAATGAAATTGCAATATGTTCATAGTTCACAATACATAACACCATCCATATTGTACCTCATTTCTGTCACCACACTCCTTGTAAACCGCAAGTATTGTGCTGTTGACGAACAATTTATCATGAACCAAACTTTGTGCCATTGTAATAAGACATACAAAACAAACTAATTACTCAATCCCCCACGTTGTGGTTATTGCCTATTGTTAAGTTTGCAAGTCGAGAATCAGAGATATTACTTCATACTTTAGTATTCAATATATACACAGGTATCAGAAATTAGGTAACTAAAAGTCTATTCTAATCTTCAAACAATAATTTTCCAGACAATACCTTAACTGTTTAGATGAATGCCAAATGGAATTTTGAATTTTACTTTTTAACATTAAATCTCTTCGACTTCGGCCGCGTGAAAATAAAAAAAGATTAGTAAAAACTAATCCACAGATGTTGTAATTCACAGATGAATGTTGTGTGATGTGTAATTCACAGATGAATTACCTTTCTAACGTTGAAAGAATCTTGAAAATCGGCCCAGTAGTTTTTCAATTACTTAAATACACACAAAAATATAGTTTTTTTCTCTTTATAATATTAGTATGGAAGTATAAATAGATGGTAAAAAATCATTATTCTAATAATAGTTACTGTGTTAAATGCAATTATCTAATTATGTGCTCTACTTTTTCTTGCAAGCGTGTTTTCAAGCTTGAAATAACATTGTATCGGAAAAACAACCGAGAACGGATATTCTTACGCACGCAAATGTATAGCAGGTTATTAAAAATGTATCGCTTATTAAATGCCGTCTACTCATTAACTTACTAATTATAACACATTTTTACCGTGAATCGGTACTACCCAAACATGGGTAAAAATGTTTTTCCTCTATTTTTTTGAATTCGCTTACTTTCAAAATTGTGAGACTGAAATATTATAAAAATTGTCATTAATCTATGGTTATCATAATAAATCTTACTATAAAGATGGCACCATAGATATTCGACCGGTTCTAGTATGTTAATACGCCATTTCATCATAGAGCCTCACTGACCCGTCCTGTTACATCTGAGCTTTACTTGCGGTACAGTGCGCGGTCTTAACGAGATACTTTCATTTCTTTAACAACATGAGCTCACTTTTGCATAACATAACCTCTATAGATTATAGATAAAGCTTTTATTTAGTTTTATCTCGACCGCTCCCACTAGATATTTGAGTTATGTGTTGTGTTTGAGACGATGTCGTTGAAGTCTTTTATATGAAAGAGACACATAAGAACTGATCACAAAAATACGCATTTCCTGCTTTTTGTAAACATATTACAAAAATCGAAAGTGTGTGGTGAAAGTTGTGTCTCAACATTTTCTTCATCTGAAATATTTGAGAAATAGTCCGAGAAAAGTTGAGAGCGCGAGTTAGTCTATAATAATGTTTACATTGTATCGTTTATGATGAAATAAAATACTAGATAATAGGCAGAATACCACCAATATAACCAACAACAAACTCTAACAAGCGACCTCACAGGAATGTTGACGATGTTTAGTAGTACTTAAATATTATAACAGCCCGTCTCTATGATAATCATCATTGCGGGTCATTACAACACGAAATCTTATAAAATGTCACAGAAATTACGATACATTAACTAAGATGGATCCATTTTAGTTAATTATGTTCGGTAATCTACAATATAACGAGATTCTAGATTATTACATAGATCGATAATAACGTTCTATATTTGCATCTATTGCATATAACTACAATTAAAATACCATTTGTTAGTTAAAAAACACAAAATGCCTAACTGGCAATAAGTATGATGGTCAGAATAAGAATATTCATAATTTAACATTTCACTCTTCAAAAGTGGTACAGTTTTTAGATCAGATGAAGTCATTTTACTTTATTATCTTTGTATAAATCCTGTACATTGAAAGTAACAAAAACGGTGCAAATGTTATTTAAATCTATCATGTTATTATATTGCATGGTACGTGTATACTGAGTAACTATACTAACATGGTCATATGCAATAAAATCCACCATTATGTGTACATCATTAATGTCAGCTCGTTCTTGTTTGATTCATTTACGTAAATGTTTATGGATGGCAATTCGTGTCATTCCAACAGAGATCCTTGTTTACAAATAAAAAGGTCGTCTCAAAATGAATTGAATTTACTTAGTTTTGACAAATAAATAGCTTTTGGTTACAGTTACTGTACCGTGATATTGTTAGAATGAGAAGGTTGATAGCCAATACATGATCAAAAAGTGAGTGATGACTGAGATGACGTATGATAG